TAAATAGGTAGGAAGCCCTAAAAGATTCTTTTACATAACATTATAATGCTTTTACAACATTCCTTTACAATATGATAACGATTTTGAACTCTAACACTCCACCTCAAAATGAAATTGTATAAAGTTAAATTGAATAATAAAAGAAATAAGACCAAAAAAACACAAAATTAGATATTAGAGGCTGATATTTACAGAGTTGGATATGACATGTTGATGAAGACATTGATGAAAATGTTGTTGATGATCACATTAAGACACATCTTGATTAATACAAGCAATAAATATAACCTTAAAAGATGAATGCATCATCACATAACTCAAATGGCTAGATGAAGATGGATTCATTGTCCTTAGGATTAAAGGGCTAACATCAAATCAAAATACATTTGCTGTCCTTGATACCAAAGGATAGTTAAGTTACTAATTAATATGAAGAAGATGTGTATTAGAAAGAAGATTCATTGTCTTCCTCTAATACATAAATGTTTTAGTGATATAATAGAAGGGAGGAGACTAGCTCTAGCTTAGATGGACTAGATGAGTAGCTTGTTGGACTGTTGACTATTATCAATGCTTAGAGATAACAAAATCAATAAGAGATGATGGATTAGATAATGGCTAAAAATCACACATTATGTGAGGCACCTTCATATATGCAAAACGTATTCATCAAATCTTGATAGCATAGGACTAATGAGGAATGCCATATGTAGAACAAGAACAACATGGGATGGAGCAAGAAAACATAGTACAATATGAGACCATGTGGAGCAAAGTGGGAGAATGTGGGATGACATAGGACAAATAGGACTAGGCAAGTAAAACTAAGGATGAATAAGATCAGCAAGCATGGTGGGCAGATGATGAAAAAAGTTGACAGTAATAGAGAGAAGAACAGATTAGGAGGAGAGTTGATGGTATGGTCGGGAAGGAAACTCTTAGTGCAATAAAAATCCTTGTGTGACATGAAGATAGTTGACAAAATAATAAAAACTCTTGGGGCACGACATACAAATCAGTGATGACAACTATGAATTGTGACAACAATAGAGAGGCAATGATTTAGGTGGTGGTGACTCTTCATATGATAAAGGTTTTGATATGATGTGATATCATTTATGTCTTGAGTTTCAAGGTACACTGAGTAAAAAGGGGGAGTTGAATTATTTGAGTCTAATCTTTTAACCTCGTGTTCAGTTTTGGCTACTATTCTTAACTTTTTCTTTAGATCCTAAATTCATAGTTTTTATTGTGGTTCAGCCTTTTGACTACATCAAATCTGAAAAAAAATCCATATTTTTAAGTTCTATTCAAAATCTGATGTCACAATCACTACCATTGATTATAAGGTTCAACCATAAACTCTCTTCTATATTTATGGCCTTTAGGAGACAAAAGCTATGTTAAGAAAGACAAGTCTCACTCATGATAAATAAGAGTTTATTATATTTTTTATTTCACTACAAACAATAAAGGTATTAGTATGAGATGTTTGTAGAGAATGATATTGACTTGTCATTTTTTTTTGAGTTTTGATGAAGAGGATAATATTTTAAACTTAATTTCATTTCTACTATTCACATAAATATGCTGTTTGATGATGTAAACTATTGTCCTTTTGATTTGATTGATGATGGTTATTGAATGTTTAAATAATATTTATAAAGTTGGACTAACCAACAAAGATCTTGTGATTTTCCTCAAGAGTTTTCTACATAAAAAATCAATATAACTCTTGAGGTTGTAGATGGTTGTTCAATTCTAATTAGCCATTGGAAACCTACAGTATTTGTAAAGGAATCATATTTGAAATCTTTTTCTATTTTGAAAAAACTTCAAACCTCAAATAGTTAAAAAATCAATACAATATGCCCCTTATAAATTTAGATATCCTTATAAACAGCCAATAAGTGATTCCTTTAAAGTACAATGTATATATCTGAATCACATTTATTTAGTCTTATTTAAATCTTATTAAAATTACTAATAAGATAGTCATTTAGAAATTAAATCTTAGTTAAATCACTTCAAAGGAAATATAATCATCAAGTAAACATCTTAAATTATAATATCTGTATTTATAATTATAATTATATAATATAATGAAGACATAATAAGTTGAGTAACCTTTCGTAACTATATTTTACTTCAAAGAATCTTGTGGATCTGAATGTGTTAATCATTACTCTATCACTATGGCATTTTTTGTAAATAGTAATACTTTCAAAAAATTATACTTAATATGATACTTTTATGAGATGAGTTCAATCAAATATATAAATTCAACATTATTGATCAAAATTATATTTAATAAATGATCATCTAAATATTCAGTAATATTTTATTAAGTTATATAAAACCACTTTCATATTAGCTTCATATCAAGCATATTTGAGATTCAATATAATTTGAAATTTTAGTTAAGCTTATGAATATTAATTATCATCAAAATTTCATGCATTTGACACTTCAACAATATAGAATAAGAATTCAGAAGGAATTAAAAAAAGTTTCCTCTATTATGGAAGATTAAGAGGAAGAATGATGGAAAATGCCTCACACTTCATTAACCTTTATCACCCATTGAATATCGTGGGAACCCTACAAGGTTTTTCAAAAATGCTCTCAGGATTTTATTTTATTCTCCCACAATCTAATAATGATTTAAAATTCTAAGAGTATCAATAGCATTAATGTTTTTAGTTTGACATTCCTCATCAAATAATGGAATCTATTTAAGGGGATGAATTGTTTAAATTTATGTTTTTAATACATGAATGAAAATTGAAATGAAGTAAAAGTACTCAATCAGTCTTACATGAAGCTTTTATGGTCAGCTAATCAAACCCAAACCTACCTTGCCTCCTAAGCCCTCATTAGATATCTTCATTTGGTTGTCACACATATGCATCCTTTTATATCAAAATATTATCACACTTCTAACCTAATTTGATAATAAGTTCATAGAACTCAACAAAATATGTAATAAATCAACTTACACAACTGCTGAGGTGGTTTTTTTTTTTTGACCTTTCAAATGCTTTAAGATCTTGAGAATGATGCTTTTAAAGCTTGAAAGTTCTAATCATTTGAGACCTTTGGAATCTATCTTGCTTTTGTTTTCCATAGTTGTGGATCTTGAATAAGTCATTGCAATAATTTTTCACCTAAAAAATCACAAAATGAATAATTTTTATATGTTTTCGACTTATTATTATGTTCAAAGTCAATGTTATGTTTGCACTTACACAGTTAACCTTAGTGCATGGACATTGGCACATGACACCATTGGATTTGAAGTATGAATTCCTATCTAAATAACTATGTTCTTCATTTAGGTGTTAACATTCACCTTCTAATGACACTTAATAATGTTTGCTATCAATTCCCAAATAAGAGTTGGCACTTATTGGGATATGTAACACTTAGAACTTTGTTCTTTGTTGCTCTATAAAAGCCAATGGTCACCTTTAGGGCAATAATACTTGATTACCTTGTTTGTTATTTTTCCATAGAGTTTCAGCCTTTCAAAATTGGACATTGACATGTACATCGTACAACTTGAATATGCCACTAGTTTTCATATAATATATAAAATTCAAATATATTTGAGTAATGAAAAGAAATACTTAAAATATTTTTAATTATATTTCAAACATAACATAACTTTGTATGAATCATGGACATTAGTTTGCTAGCAAGTCTATCCAAAGACATTAATAGAAAACTTAGCTCTTTTAGGTAATGATAGTATTAATAAGTTAACAAATATCATTGTGGATATCTAACATTGTTTGATTTGAATCCAATGAAGCATCAAACATCAATACACTATGGAGTAAATTTAAGCCTACTTTTATTGTCCTAGAATACATTTTGATTGCATTCCAATGTGGAAGAATAATCAAATGATTTGCTTCGTGAAAAAATTTAATCATGGTTTTTTCTTCCTTAGAAAATGCATAAAAGTTAGAAAAAGATTGACTAAAGAAATGTATAGAATTCATGCAAAACACATGTATTCATGTAAATGAAGATGTAACATTATATAAAATAATGTTGAAACTTGTCTTGTAGAAGGGAAACATAGTTTGTGAGATATGTGCATAAATTAACATTAAAAAATAATAAATGATTTAACTGATCAAGTAGCAACAAAATCCACTAATTTTGAGTAATCAAACTTTCCTTGGAACAAAATCTATTGCTTTCATTCTTTCCCCTTATATTGACATTTGAAGTAAATTTCATTGAGAAATGATTTCCTTAAGACAAAATGACTTTTTTTTTGTTAAGATTATTTTGAGTTTATAGTCCTTCATAATTTATGAGCTCATGGTGGATATAGAGGTAGAGAAATTATTTCCAAATAGGCTCATCAGTTTCTGAGAATCTTTTGTTAGTCTAAAGCTGAGTTCATAACTCCTGTCATGATGGAATGTAAAGTCTAAACTCCATATGACGAGTCATTTTCTGATTTTTTTTAATAATTTTATAGAATTAAACTATTCATGTTGTAAACGGTGAAATTCTTATTAAGAGAGCTTGTGTACGATGATTTAAAAAGCAGCACTCATGGCATCCACGAATTCCCTTAATTTTGGAACTCACAATTTTGTTCCGTATCTGAGTATTTCCAATTATTTTCAAGGCTGATAAATATGTTTGACTTTCTGTGGGCAAGCTCGTAATTTGACCAGTTTAAGTGTTTGCAAGGAGATGCTTTTTATCAACACTGTACAATTTATTATAAAAACCTTTAGAATAAATAGGTTGTGAGAAATGGCATGCCACCTTCCTCACCATCTCACTGCATATAAATCAGAATTTTTGGAACTAATATTAACATCACAATGAGTATCTTAATATGGGCAGGCATACACAGGAACACACATCACCAAAAATAAGTAATTTATCTAAAATATATTCCTACATAAAATCTATAAGTAGCAAATATTTCAAGGTAAAATCATCAAAGAATGACTTCCTTCTTCCTCATTTCACTTCTCACCGTCGCCATCATCGTCATCATCATCACCGAGTTTTACTGAAAAGTCGGGCTCTTCAGGCTTCAAAAGCTTGGGCATCTTCAAGCTGACAGCAGAAAGATCGTCGCCACCGCCCATCATCTTCTGGTTCGCCCCCCTCTTTGTGTTCTTGGCGAACTTGGAAGCCAATATGGTGGCGCCTAGCTGCTGAAAGTTTGGATTCTCTTCGTGCTCTTCGCTCTTTTGGATCATCTGACCAGCAGGGTCCAGCAAGGTGGGGGCCTGGAAGAAGCCCAAGCCCCCCTCCATCCTGGCCAACTCCCTGGCCATCTTCCTCCTCTTGAAGCGCCTCCAGGCGGCCTGGATGAAGCAGGCGCCCCAAGTCCTCCAGTTGTGTGAGTAGAAGCGAAAGGCGTGCTGGAGCTTCTTGCTGTGCAGGCGCTTGAACTGGTTGGCGACGAATTTGAGGTCCTCTGCGCGGAGCGCGAAGGCCTCCACCTCCTCGAGGGCCCTCACCGTGCGGGTCGAGGAGGGCAGGTTCAAGCTGGGGTTGGGCATCAGGGCCCAGGTGAGGAGCTCTTCTCCGCAGAAGTCTCCGGGACGGAGAGTGATGGAGTTGAAGAAGCCGCTCCGGCCACCGTTGGTCGTGGAGCTCTCCAATCGGCCTCTGATCACGAAGAGCATCTCGTTCACTGGGTCGCCCTCGCGGACGATAAACGTCCCCTGCGTGCTCAGGCAGGAGACCAGGCGCTCGCAGATGGCGTCGAGGAGCTGCGCGTCCATCTGAGAGAAGAAGGGGACCTGCAGGAGGAGGAGCATCATGATCTTGTAAGAGGGTGGGTTTTCACCGTTTTCATTCATTTAGCTGACCATTTTTTTCAATCAGGTTGATGATATTCGATGAATGTGTTTTGATAGATAAATGATTGATTCACTTGTAACAGTAAGCAGCAAGAGGAAGACGAATCTTCCAGCTTGGTATAAGCCAAATGCGCTTTAATTTTCAGATACTAATTCACTTCTAACAGTAAGCAGCAGGAGGAAGAAGAACTAGAATGTGTCATTGAGTGGAAAGGAAAAAAATGGCAGCCTAGAAGATCGGAAATCCCTCGCCGAGTAGTAATCTGTCTAAAATCTTCTATGGAGAATAGGGATTGTTAAGTGTGGCGAGTTGTGGGTTGTTCATGATCTTTCCTGCAGATGATGTGTGATCATCCTGCAAATATTGATCTGCTCCAAGGCATGCTGGTCAAAGGCGAATGTAGAAAAACGTTCTACAAGGACAGGATACTTACACGACGAACAAGATCTAAGCAAAGGTGCCGCTGAATATCCCGACGAAGATCCAATGGCAAGGACCGAAGGATAGATTCTTCGTCAACACCTCTAGTAGCAAGCCATTTGTACTGAACAAACCGGTGAACGCGCTCCTGCAGATCTGGAGGGAGTTTGCGGTGCCTCATCCACTCCTCAGTGTCTCTCCTTTTGACTCGCCATTCTTCAAGTCTCACAGTTACTGATTGCAGGTATGTCTTGCCAAAGCAAAAAGTGCTTAGATAATTCACGGCTATGATTGAATAAATCATTAAATTGTCAAGAACAGAAAAGCTGTACAGAATGTTAATTCACCCAAGAAGATTGATAAACAAAACCCATATTTTTCTCCCTCTGCTCTCAGCTTAGAACAAATTATATCTTGCCCTTGATAGGTTGGATCCTGGTCTCGGTATCTATCTTACCTCAGTCTTCCGGAGAAGTGGGATACAAGATATATTTCAAGCAGCTAAGTTTAAATCGTATAAAAACTTTCAAAGATTCTGGTACTGGTTCATAGGCTTGAAGAGCTTAAAATAGGTGTCTGAAACGTTTATAAAACAAGCCCTAACGTGGGCACAGTCCTAGATTAAGCACTGCCACTATATACAACATTAGTGAAAGAAGTGACCCTGGGCTAGTGAATTTTCAGAGATCAGCGTAGGGCAAACATGGCTGAAAGTTATTCTGAGTTTGGAATTCAATAAGATTCGAAAGGCAAGGAGTGAAGTCCTTTGTGATACACAAGAATTTCTCGACAAAAGTAAGAAATGATATACCAACCATAGAGCAGCAGGTTGGTATATCATCTTCTCTGCATATTGTCCATAACTGACCATTTGACCGTGTAAGGCATGGAATGTCATTAAAATACAGGATATTGTTCATCTATTATTTAATCTTTATGCGAGTAACATGGTTAGAGATGCATCATTCTTAAGGTGAATCACCCATTTATATCGGAAAAACCCATAAAAGTTCAGGCAGGTGAATCTCATATTTACAAATGTACGAGTCCACAAGGAACCAAGATAAATTCTGTGATGAATGTTTTTTTTTTGTTTGGGTTTGCAAGTTTACTGTGCATCATTAACATTTTACGAAAATATTTTGTTCATGAATGCAAAAAATTGTAAAAATAGCACACTATTCCTAGGATCTATGATTGAGCACACGATAATCTAAGAAAAATCAAGAGTGTAACTTATACCTGCATATTACCAATCAACTGGGAGAATAGAATGAGTCCCACAATGCATATAAGAATGCAAAATGATGTTTCACCAGCGTAGGTGCTCGTTACAATTCCTTGTCCATATGAACTGTGGAAGAGGAAACAGGGTCAGTTATAATGATCTTAAGACTGGATGAATCCTTCCACCATCGCAACGTACTTGCAAACAATTAAATGAGCAGCTCCAATGCATATCATTTGCAGAACGGAACGGAGAAGAAAAAATATTCGCCAAACATTTTACAGGAAGTTTGTTGCCTAGGAATAAAATTAAAAGTTGGGTTAGATATATTACCAAAATGATAAAATCCCAAGCAAGCACTATCATCAGTAATCTAGGAACCAGACTGTCTCATAAATTCAACTTATTGGTGTTCATGCTAAGTTATTTCCCAGAATGATAATTTTATGGGGGAATGTCATGCAAGATCTACTTACTAGAACGACATACTGGAGCTTGAGGGATATCACCTATCTAGATGGAGTTATTGAATCGGCTGATTCTGATCGTATCAACTGAAATTATGCCTTCCAATCTTATTCAAGAAAAAATCCTGATCCATCCCAGAGGTTCAAAAAAGCTAGGGCCTTTCAACACTAAACGGTACTCTGACACCTGTCTACCTCATATTACCCTTTCCAGAATAGAAGAGGGGAAAGATGCCGCACCTCTTCTGTCACCTAAAGTAAACTCTTAAAACTATCAGTGACCCCACCCCTCAAACCCATTTTGCCCATCATTAATTAATACACTGAAAGAGCTTGCCAAAGGAGCCAGAATGACCAACATCACTACTGCTTGGATCCACAGCTGAGATAGAATAAAGTGAAACAAAGTTCATCTCTCAGTGGCTCAAATTGCTCATACCAGCACTAGTCATCTGTCCCGACATAGATGTGTGGAGTTGATCAGAAGGGATGAGAAGACAACTGCCCCTTCGAGAATGTGAATAGACCAGGCTTGCAACCATGCACAGTGTGACAGTTAGATGGCATGCGCGCATAAGAAAAATCACCATGGATGTGAAGCACGAACCATCATCTGTTGACTTATATTCGAGATTTTTGGTTCCTCTTTGGTCAGAGTATGAAATTGAGCATGACAAAGAAGAAAGAGAGGAGAAAAAAGAAGACCTAAATTTTAAAGGTCCTTATCATAAGATCTCTACAATGACTCTTCCCTCTAACTACTTGAAATGACAAAAATATCTAAACCAGCAATCCTTAATGTGAAGCCCCTGCAGACATGGGGCGCTGACATTAACGATTCATGTGAAGAGGCTAGATCTTAGTTCACTACCTTCTGACATTCTAATGCAAGGAAGGCAGAAATGACAAAGAGATAGTAGTATAAATGTGATACGGTATATAGGAACTGTTGAATGTAAAGAATGAAAGGTGCACAAGGGCAATGAGTAAGGCAAGCTGATGAATAGAGGAGCAAATAGTCAAACTAGTGCATGGCTTATTAAAGTTTCATGTTGTAATGATTACACTAGTCGATAAGTTTACGTTTTTATACCAACATTTATCACTGATAAAGGACATGTTGAGTTATGAGGCCTAACTTTCGCTTTAAAATAGAGTAAGATCATGTAAAATAAGTGAATTTTTAGGCAGCTGACGAGGGTGTGGCACCATGTAACTCTCTGTTGCTTGTAGTGGAACCCTATGGGTGCTAGTAAAATTATGTCTGCACTTTATTTCTCTTCTAGCTCATTCTCATTGGTGTCAGCTCATAGGAAGCAAGATTATCTCTAATTTTCTATAGAGTAGGGTTGAGGAGTACTCAAGGGGGAAAATAATGGAGACACATCAATGTGAGAACAAAAGAAAGGAAACAAATATGAGTCTATTGAGGCTAGAACCAGGGTAAGAACGTATTTGTAAAAAGTTGCAGAAATAGAATGAAAGCACTACAATAGAAGAAAATTATTTTTTATTCATAATAATAATCCAAATCGTTCTTCACTAGTAAACTTCCAAACCAAAATTTACTTCCTTTCTGAGAAAGAATGGCTTCTTTCATTTAAGGCAAAGTAAGAGACGCATTGCATCCAATTACGTGTAACTCATAATAATCCGCTTGCTGACATTGAGAAAAACCCAATATGCCCAATAATAAACCAAAGGACCACTAAACGTAAATAAAGGTTCGAAACATACTACTACTACCATACCATCTCCTTTCTGCAGTTCTCTTAGAAATTTTAAATGGCAGGTGCCAGTTCACAACAATATGAGCTCGGACAAAATAACCAAAACTTACTCTACATTGGGTGCGAAAGATAACATAATAGATGACTTAACTCATACACTAGGCCAGGCTGAAGTCTAGAGCAACTAGCCATGTTGCTCCTGTCTTCACGCTGTTACAGTTGTGGTTGTGTCATTCTATTACATTTTTCTAAAAGGGATTGTCAAGCTGCACAAAATTCTGCCCAATATGCAACTTCCCTTGCTTTCAATGAATCGTACTTTTATATAATCTTGTGAAAAATGACAAATGCTCGTTCCTCCATAACACTGGAATAAACTATGAGGTGAACACTCAGACGCAGAACAAAAGGTGGAATTGAACCTCTGTTGAAAAGCACAAAGTAATGAAACCTATAAAAAGAGTACATATTAAATCAATGTGGGTCAAATTTAGCAGTCTCTATCACATGATCCCCAAAAGGCATGATTTTGTCCAATAATTTCCAATTTTGCCTACAAGAAGGAACACATTTTTACGGACAACGTTTTCACGAAATCTTCTTCATAAATCCAAAATTTGTTGCGAGCATGTAAATCATATATTCCAAGCCAACAATGACAATGTATCGATGCAGAAAGACGTACCAATTTAATCAACTGAACATATCCAAAAACACTACAAAACTAAGATATTGTCTTGATTACATACCTCAAGTTCTTCAAACCCCACCAAAGACAGTAAAGATACTTCTCAAGGAATGGTGACGACACAACCTCATTAATAAAAGCATCTGCAAACATTCCGAAGTTAAATTTCATAGGGCCATTGGCAGCGTCACATTTGGTAATCACTAGACTGCTGTTCAACCATGTCTTTCGATCAGATTGCTCAACTGTACTACAATCAAAGAAAACAGGATTGCAAAAAGGTCTGCCAAAGGTTCCATCTTCCTTCCTGCACTCAGTTAACCAGCAGGAAGTTTGTCTCTCCATGGACAAGAGGTACCACAAGGCTCCAAGAACCTGTAAAAGAAAATGTAATGATCATAATCTATGCACAAAATATTCTAAGCAAACCTTCAAATAATAGCTTTGAGTTGAACCCTGAAAGAAAAATATTTAGATAATGAAGAGCATACATGACTAGCCAACATATAGAGTAGGAGATTGTATGCAGCTCCAGCCCACGCAGTCTTTGCAACAACCCCATTTGCTTTTACAATCCTCGCATTCAAAGGGAAAATAAGGAATAGTCTAGGGACATATTGGATGAGCACAATCAAAGCAAGGGTATTGTTTGTGTGGGCCTTGGAGTCGTTCACAGCTGGTATAATACCCCAAACAATGATCTGCAGAACAGAAGAAACGAATAATTTGAGATCACCGTAATATTTTCTGGTGCACAATCTTGAAGCTTTTAACGGTCTTACACTACCTATGTAACAGTTGTTACTGAAGCCACGGTGAGAAATTCGCGTTAAATGAATTACTAAGGACATTACTGCAAAAGATCCAACATACGAAGAACATATAAACAATCTGTAAAGACCTCAGCGAGTACTTTCAAAGATCCTAAGCAGTAATAGCATTATCTCAGGGAAAGAGTAGTAGTCAGCATAATATTGTTAAACACATTTTTGTGTCTATAATATGAGGATTTGGTCAATCTGATGAAGTATCGTTATGAAAGACTCCCCACCACAAGACGAAAAGTATCAATGCAACGTTCTGAAAGCCGAATTCAGGAAATGAACTTCATTGGAGAGAAAAAAGGACAAGAATGCAGGTATGAAAAAAAAAAGAAAACAAGAATCTCGTTCTATCATCATTTGAAATGATGAATGGAATAATGCGCTCAGGTAAACTAATCAAAATCAAATAAGAGCACATAGGGAAAAGTCAAAATATTTACAAAGAAGAATCTTCTATAAGAAAGAGTGTCTAGTATTCAGAGTTCCTAAAATGGAAGATAATTCACTCCCAATGGATAATCAACATACATAAAAAGTAAATCAAAACACTAATGAAGTAAATTTAGATTTTCCAAAAAAAATAAACTAGTCATGAAAATCATGAAACTCCATTAAGTATGAATCCTTTCTCCATTATTATTTCAAGAATTGTTCTCTTGCATGATGGCTGCTCAGATTCCAACAAATCGAAAAATCTTTGAACAATAGATTTGGAACAATAATGAGATAAAAAGCTCACACTCTTACTTCATTATGCTGAAAATAACCCTTCTTTTAGGAATGTAAATAAACTGTGCAGGTTTTCAGAATGTAAACAAGAACGCATTGGATGGCAATCACAATGTTAGGAAGAATAGTCTAAACCTAGATGGTGGTGTCATTAAACAGGAATATTCATTTTTGGGCAGTCGTTAAGAGCAAAAGGTTCATGTTTACGCTAAGAATCTAATGACAGGGGGTAAAGGTTCATTAAAAATTTTATTCCAACATTCCAGTTTAGAAGTTCTTCCAACAGTCCAGCCATCCAGTCTACTTTTAAAGAGTGAATATCCTCAATGATGAGCATTCTTCAGCACCTCCCAATTGGAAGGTATTCTACAGTTTTCAAATTTTAAGGAAAAAGGCAAAAAAGTTGGCATGAATTTTGTACTGCAAAGAACAACAAAGTGTGTCACAGAAAAAAAAGGGAAGAGACAGCAGTCGAGTAAATATCCCTTTGGCATGGCTCCGAAGTAGATATTGAATCAAATTTCTCTCAGAAATCATTTCCACATTCTTCTAATTTTGGGTGCCTAAAGTAATAGGGTAACATGGCAGTAAGACAGCTTTTTAAGGAAAAAAATTTCACACAGGCCACCCACAATAAAGACAATCGTTGCAGGACAGCTTTGAAGACGAGGGAATAAGTCCCTTGTAGAAAAAGCAAAATGACATAGGCAACACAATAGTGGTCACAATCATGGGACGGTTCCTAATTTTGAGGAATCAGTAACACAACCAACTCATACCGAGCAAACTAAAGCGAGTGAGTTTACGAACGACGATTATTGAACGTTCTAAGTACATCCAGCAGGAATCGAACCTACTCAATTTGCCAGCCAATGTTGTAACCATTAAGCACCATGGATGCAACAGCGCATGAACTAGGTTTTGTTTTTATTCCTTCTCGAGCTACAGTCATCGCAGCTCATGTGTCTTGTGTCATCAACGCAGTTGTACATACCTATGCTTGGATTGTGGTGAAACAAGAACCCTTACGTCCCAGATTTAGGGCCTTCCGAATAAAAAAAATCTGATGGTAGCAGAGCTAACTTCTGATGTTGCCTAGTCTATGTCCAAGCACTAGGATTGACTCCAGCACTTGCAGGGGAAACCCAAGATTCATGTGTAGACATTAACAGCGAAGAAATTATGAGATGTATCATATTTTAGCTGCAGAACGGAGACCATGGATCTCAAAGCCATCATGGAATTGTCTAATGCCTTTCTGTCTGTACAAGATGCAAGTCCATTGGGCGATGACTGATTGAAAAGGTACGTTTAAAATGAAGCATGTGAGTAGACTGCTTGAGTCCCATTGCTCCTATTAGACTGCTGGTGCATGCTTCTCCTTTCCCTACCGGACTACCTCGTGCAACACTAAATTCCACTCTTTCCCCTCCCAGACTGTCATTCAGGAAGAATCAAGGAGAGCCAAAAATCAGAGGCAGTTTATCTGAACACAAAATGTAGAGTCTGATAGAGAGGGAACCAGTCATTCACATTCGGCCAAATGCGAATGCACTTATAAGAAAAGTACAATTCTTGCGTTTCAGATTGGACAGAAGTGGTTTTTTTTCTGTTTGTTATCCTCATGCAAACCGTTTGTTCACAATCCTGATAACTTGGAGAGCAATGTAGGCGCAAACTGCCTACAGGGTGGGACCAAACAAGAATCTTATTAAGCTGCTCACCAAGGTGACCTAGACACTAGATGACTCCTAGAAAGTAGTGCTCGACACCAAGCATACACACACTAAAGATATAATACAGAACAACAAATATATAGGCTACCCAGTTTCAATCTACTGCCATTACATATATAGGTCTTCCCGGTTTTTATTATAAACAATACTGACCAAGGATACGCCAGTGTCTTTTCCACTTATCTCAGAAAATTAAGATTTCTCTAACCGTATCAATTGTCTGCCTTTGGATAAACCATTTATTAATGGTAGCACATCATTTTCACTTAGGGCATTGATAGCCTATAGTGTCTAAGGATTCATCACAAGATCTTTTTCAAATTATATGCGAATTCTTTATGAATATGATTAAATGGAATTCATTCCAGATGAATTTTCTCTTAATATAAAACATAGAGACAAGTAGATTTGCCTTCGTTCCCAAATAAATATGATTTGCATATAAATCCTACCTTCTTTTCTTCTAATAAAATAGGTTCATTTGACCATTTAAAAATTTCACAGAAAGGTAACATTTTTGAAAACAATAGCAATCAGCGGAGTGAACATTTTCATACGAGAATTCGACTTTAACAGTATCACCTACTTGAATGGTCCCACTTGTATGTACAATATAAACACTCAAAGCTAGTTGCGGAAATTCAAGTCTCCTTCATAATTTTTCCAAAGAGATAATTTAGAAGCACGCGAAAGGCTTATACACGTTTGCTCTTTCCCCATTTTTATTCCTCCTTTCCTTTGTTCTTCAATGCTTTCATATGATAACATCCTAATGAAGTCATTTAGTGTCCTCCTCAAGACTCAAACTAAAGTACACATTTACCATGCCAAGGCGACGTCTGTTGGCCAATGGATTGAGTTGACAACAAAATATCGCATAAAAGCTATGGAAAGAAATGTACTCTAAGAAGGGAAAGACCGTGCTCAATCTGAAGCGAACAATTTTTTCTCACACCAAAGAGCTTCGCACTTTCAAACTACAGTAGAATTACTGTCGCGGGATATTCTCAGCTAGTTACTATTTTGTGATTGGCAGCAAGACGTTGAGCCAATCGAGGCAGAAAGAGTACAAAATAGTTGGTTCCTTTTAGAATATCAAATCTGTCTTTTATTTCTTCCCATGGATGAAATTATCATCAGAATGAAATAAGAAATTAAGGAAAATTTTACGCAGTTGAAGAAGAAGAAGAAGAAACTCCAGTGATTAGGGAATGAGGGGAACCTTGCCTGAGGGATCGGAAGCATAGCGACAAGATCGATCGCAAAATCCGACTTCAGATAACGGAGGGCAATCTGGTTTGTGTCCCTGACGAGCTCTCCTTTGCCAAAGATCCTCGAACTCGGCGCAACGAAGGCCGTCCGGAATTTCAGGATCATGTGGGTCAAGTAGAACAGATCGGCAACAGTCCGGAAGAACGTGACGACTATACCGAGGTTCAGATCAATGCGAATGCAGGCAGGCCCGCCTATCGACTGGAGATAGAAGTAGAGCGGGTCGAGGAAGAGCGCCACGAGGCATGCCACGAGGAAGACGTGGTTCCACTTCAGGACGACGTCGCTCCCAGGGTCGAGGATCCGGCGCGGCTGCCATGGCTTGCGGCGTGCGAGTAAGAAGGGGGAAGCGGCCGAGCCTGCCGAGGGGGCAGAGGGCGGGGGAGGGCGAGGGGGCGGCGGCCGCCGGAATGGGAGGAGCCGTGAGGTGGAGGCGGTAGAGGCGGGGGAGGACGGATCGACAACAATCCTAGCCTTCTTCCTCATCTTCCATGGCGGAGACGGCAGCGGAGGCTTCTTCCTCTACGGATGGCGGGGGGGAGGTGGAAGGCGGCGGCCATGTAGAGCGGGCGAAGCCTCTGGACGATGAGGGTGACGTGGAGTGCGAGCGCCATTTTGGTGGCGAGGAGCAGCCGAGGGTTTCTCGGGCGACCGAAGGAGAGCCTGCCATTGCGGGAGAGAGCAGAGGAGGATGGCCATGGCCGGTTGGGGGGTGGTGGGGTGGAGGACGAGTACCAGGTGTTGAAGTAGCGGCAGCTACGGACAACATGTCCCGGCTTTATAACGGTCGTAACTGTACAATACAAAGTCGCGTTGACTTTTTCATCTAAAATGGTTAAATACTAGAACTCGGTCAACTTAATTCATTCATCCCATTATCAAACTGAGAACTAAATTAATATAAGTCAACCTGCTAAAGAGATTATCTAAAATTAAGGTGAAATTAACTTAATTAATCATAACCAATTAACATATTGGTTATTTAAAATGATTAATCAATCCTAACTAGTTTGGATTTATATTTATAAGAAAATAAGATAATCTGAATGGATTTATATAAATAATGAGTAATTAAAGCAATTTAAAAGAGACATGAAAAAAAGGTGCAAAAAACCCTGAATGCACCAAGATAACTTAATTACGGTTCTTCATCAAAATCTATCATAATAACCTTTTCATAATCTGAAAATGTGTAATATTTATCTATTATATATAATATTTATAATTTTCACATTTTCTTGAGAGATTTGTAAGCTTTCATGAGAGAACTTCTATAAGAGAAACCTCTCTTCATTTGCTAAGGAGGGTAGCTTTTTGGCCTTTTTCATAATTTACTATTTTTATTACTTTATTATTGCAGTTAAAAATAGTGGTTTTTAATCAACGTTCATACTTACGGTAAAACCATCAAATAATGTACATATATTTCTGTAATAAGGGCCATTGTAGAAATTGACAATTAATCTAAATTACCAACACTCTTCAAAATTGTGATGATGGTTTTTTTTTATACTATTCTTTAGGTACACAAACTATAAATAGTTTTTGGCCCCATATCAAGAGGAACATTCAATTGAATCAAAGTCTCTATAATCATTAGTCTGGTAGAGATAACCAAATATCTTATCAATTATATAAATCATTAACCATATAGAGTGTGTTAGTATGAGCATAGATGTGACAAAGACAAGAGTGTCTAGAGGTTTCCACTAGGTTATATGTGCCATAACATGGAGTGAATAAAGTCTTTGGCAACTATATGGCCTACTTGAATTTACAAGAAGAGGAGAACGGCTCTAGATGATATTAAATAATACCTAGATATGAAGTAAAATATAACTAAATGGTCAAATACAACTTAATATGCATGATTATGTGTGACCTATATAGCTTGAAAAAATCAATTTTTTACCTTTAATCCCTCAAGGATTAGTTAGATTCACAAACCCATAAAACTTATTATCATATTAGTTTGCATACCAAATCTTATCCTTAGTAAGAAATCTATTCAATTTTTCACAAAGTAGAGCATTGGGAAAATGGAGGCGACTAGCAGGAAGAAGTTGAGAACTGGTTGGAGTGATGGATAAAGAGGAGATGAGTTTACTAGGATGAGAACACAGGAAGTGTTTGTGACTTTGTTAAAGATTAATAAATAATGGATAAATTAAGAAAATTCCAAAGAGGCAAAGTAGAGTTCTAACCCCTGAAGTTTTGAGAATTTACTTTGTGACTCTTGAACTTTCAAATGTCCTAAATTTCATGATTTTGATTCTTTGAGTTTTTTATGGATTTATTAAAATAAAATAAATAGTTATTAATTGACAAGAATCACTATGATATTATAACTATAGATAGAAGAAGTTGAAAATCCAAGTCTTGTCAATTACTTGGTTGCTAAGGCAATGATTCATTCACTAGAGTTTGTAAGACTATGATGAAAATCAAATTATAATGAGTAATGTATCAAGTAATAAGTAATTTTTCTCAGCCGCAGCCTTGACTTCTACAGTCATCTAACCATGCTATTTGGGTAAGAAACACCACGATAGTGCTAAGTTCTAAAAAGCTGCTGGTCTACTCTCAACAACAAGTTGTTCATCTAGTTAAACTTTATTATTTGACATATGAATAAGGCTTGGCCAAGAGAGAGATAAAGGAACTACCAAGAGGGCCTAAGGCTGATATCTATCAAATATTTCGTATTACCATCTGTTTACTATCTATGTAAATATATTTGTTATTTTCCGACTAATGAAATAATATATTGTACAGTCCTCCTCCCTTGTGGCTGGCGTACATCCCATCAGGACTTCAAACTATTCAAAGGAAATCCAACACTAAGAGTAGGGGCATCATTAGCCTGACATGAAATAGCGGAAGGTGATAGAACTGCTGCTGTCTAATAGCATCATTTATCGGCTATGGCTGTTTCTGGCCGTCATCACCTCCTTCTATACTCCTTTTAGAATAACTAGTGAAAAATATATGCTGATTTCCTCAGTTCTTACTCCTCCATAACTTTGCGTGAACTCAAGCACGGTAGAGAACCTCCGAATATGACAAGGGCTGGGACCCATATTAGGAACTTTTCTCAAACGCTGCCAAGTAAGTTCATCTTGTCCCCGTTAGAGCGAGCAGGTAGCTCGTTTTCATGCGAGTTCCCTGCCATACACTTTCTTCATAATGGTCGGGACAACCCTGAGCTCCTCACTACTCTCTCTCTCTCTCTCTCACTCACTCACTCACTCACTCACTCTCTCTCTATCACTCTCTATCATTCTCTATCACTCTCTCTCACTCGCTCTCACTCTCTCTATCACTCTCTATCACTCTCTCTCACTCTCTCTATCACTCTCTCTATCACTCTCTCTCACTCTCTCTCACTCTCTCTCACTCTCTCTCACTCTCTCTCACTCTCTCTCACTCTCTCTCTCTCTCACTCTCTCTCACTCTCACTCACTCTCTCTCACTTGCTCTCAGTCTCTCTCAGTCTCTCTCAGTCTCTCTCACTCGCTCTCACTCTCGCTCTCTCTCTCTCTCTCTCACACTCACTCACTCACTTCACTCTCCCGTCATTAATAAAGCGACATACCGTACATCTTCGAAGGCTGTGACTCTCGCCTAAGAGAGCCTTCCATCCTGGCCGTCTGATGCATGCAGCATCTACCTCGAGAAGACAACTGCAGCCGCGGGCTAGAGGACTGGCTGAAAGTCAGAGATGCCCACCCATGTCCACGCCCAGCACAGTGTCATCCTCTCTCGTTCCGGGCAACTTCAGCCAGAATGTTTCAGACACAAACAGTGAAACCCACGGCGGCCGAGAAGCTAAAAGTGGAATGATGACTGAAGCCGCCTCTTCAAGACCCGTGGCTGGTCAATGCAGATTTAACTCTCTCACTACCAGCCGTTCTGGTTCATTAATGATGCCGGCTCCTGCAAATTCTCTAAATACACTCTCCTGTCGCGTCTCGGGGAGAATGCGATGATCACGCAGCTAGCTCACATCTACAGAAAGCCTGCCATACCTCTGCAAACCTAAGCCCTTCGCATTTGGAAGGAGGGGAACACAGCAAGAGAGAGAGAGAGAGAGAGAGAGAGAGAGAGAGAGAGAGAGAGAGAGAGAGAGATGAGTTTCATTGCGAAGATTCACAAAAATCTTATCAGGATTCGGCGATGGTGGTATTTCGACTAAAATAAAATAGATTGTGACGAACAATTTGAACTTCTATTTTTTTTTCCCATAATTGCTGAAGCTTTTCTAAGACGTTAAGACCAGCCCAATGCTATAATTATTTGAAATTATCTATGTGGGGGCTATGGTTGGACCGTACTCTGACCTTCATTAGTTCTAACCTACATAAAGGTCTTACGACGCGCAAACAGTGACAAGCACGGTGGGTCTCGGTAAGAGAGCAGATATAATAAATTATAGCTTTGACTCGTGAGAACCCAACTCGATCGCGATGTAAAACTCAACGATATAATTCGAAGTGAATTCTATATGACATATCCACGTCAAGTTATTTGAAAAAAAAGTCCTTGTTGAATATTTGGTTTAGATGGGCAAGAAGAATCTTAATTCTCTAATCATATTTCAGAAAAATTTTAGCTCAAAAGATTAAATTATCGAATAAATTAATTATTCCCCATATAAGTTTGCCTTTCGCTTGGAATTTTCCATACAAAAGCGATGGCAACTTGAAAAGAAAAAATCTCATTCCATGAATATACATTATCATTAAACTCCCGCGAGTATCATAACACGTGGATATTTTTTGTCATTATTTATTACCCTATTTAATTTTTTAATTTGGTTTATTACATCACGATGCGCAGTATTGAATAGGTTGCATCACCCACAGCCTTTCATAAATAACCTCTGCAAAATTTTAATATTTATTTAAACACGATCTAGGAAGTCAACTGAATTTGTGCCGACTAGAATGACCGCTTGCCGACAGAACCAAAGGGAGCTTCTTTAGACTTTCTCATGCTGTGAGCATCAAACAGAGGGATGATGAATCTCATCCCAAGGTCGCCTCTTGGTCAAAAAGGGCTTGCAACTGGTTCATATGAGCATCTCCCCAGTGAAAAAAGTTTATAAATATAATTGCAAATATTGCTTTGTCGGGAATTAATCGAGGCCATAAACTTCCGGGAGAACCCACCTCCGAGTTCGTCACCTTCCCTCAACCCTAGAAGCCAGTTGACACCGATGTTCCTTCAGAATTGCGATCACGAGGAAGATAGGAACTTTGAGACGAGCCTGGTCAAAACAAACGGCTCATCTCCGTAGGCCATCCCGAGGAAAGATCCCACGTCCCCCTTCTTCAACAGGAACTGTAACCCTGTCTACACTGGCTTGTTCCATTTCATTGATTAGTCTGAAAAGCAGAAGCCCCAGCCGGGTAGCGTTTGCTTGTTATTTCACATGCCCGTTCATCCCGCCGGCGAGCCAGGAAAAGACTGGGAGGAACAGAGAGATAAGAATATATATATATATATATCCAGAGAGAGAGATAGAGAGAGAGAGAGGGAGGAAGAGAGAAAGAGAGAGAGAGAGAGAGGGAGGAAGAGAGAGAGAGAGAGAGAGAGAGAGAGGTACAAGAGAAGAACACTCTAGGTGTTCGTTCCTCCACAGTGGGTGTTCTCTCCATTCGATGTTCAAGAAACGGGCTGAAATCGGAAGGGGAGTGATTCTTCGGAGATTGTGTTCTCCATTTAGAACAAGTAAATCTTCAGACTCCGGCAAGCTACAAAATCACAGAGATAATTTCCTGGAAGGGGCCAGGAGTGGCAGGAGGGGAAGGGTTAGAAGGCAGCCATTGCACCAGCGGCGATTGGATCTTCATCCTCGTCTTTGGATGATGAACACATGACTCGATGGGCAGGAAATCACTGATTTCAATCGTCTTGTTCGAATCGGAAGATAGCCGAGGGAGGAAGGATAACTCTCGCGCTGCCATAAAAGCTGCTCAAGGACATAGAGATAGAATTTACATGGATGAACAAAGAGAGAACTCGAAACCCACAACGTAAAATCCTCAAGGAAAACGAGTCTCATTATGGAGAATAAACGACGCTGCTTGGCAGGTAACTGTGATACGATATCAAAGAGTTCAGTTCTCAAATCCAGCTTCTATTTAAGCAGAATACTTTGAGGGGTTCACTAGACAATACAGCCACAATCGTACAGATGGGAGTACAACGCTCGTTAGTAGCCTTCAAAATAAGAGCCATATTTCATGTAGAAATATGAGGATAATAGAGCAGGATGAAGTTGATTCCCTATATATTCATGACGCTGGAGAAGATTGTCGAATCAGACTCTCCGGCTTCTGCACCGGGAACGATCGAATCACTCCACGCGGCCACGCCGCCGCTCCCTGGCTGCGCCGCCCTCTCTGGCATGAGGAGACTCGACAGCGTGGGAAAGTGCTTATCGAAGTCGCCGGACAACCACCCAGATGAGGCCGGTACGGCATGGAAAACTCCGTAACGGGTGGCGGGCGGAGGCGGTGGCGGCGGCGGCGAGAAAGGAGGTGCAGGAACGCCGGTGAACTCTTGCACCATAGCTCGGAAATTGCACCGGTTGGTCACCATCACCGTCACCGGCGCCCTCCGCGACGACCTCGGCCGCTTTCTGCAACCGCGTTTCCTGGTGGAGGGATTGGCGACAGCGGCGGCGGCGGCGTCAAAGGGTTGGCTCATCGGAAGGCCCAGAGAAGCCCATGGCGGAGGGAAATGATGATAAAATTTGACGTCGCCGCCGGAGGAAAGGCCATGACTTGGGGCTACCGGCGAGGAGATGAAGGTGTTCGACGGCGGCCCCGCCACCAGAGGTGGCTGTGAAGACTGTGGCAGGCCTTGATGAGATAGAAGGGCATGGTTGAATGAAGAAGAAGTGGAGGGTGGAAGGTGGAGGCTTGTGGGGGCGGTGATGGAGCAGTCTGTAAGAGGGTTGAGGGAGGAATTGACGATGAAAGGGAGGTCCATGAAGCCGAAGATGTCGTAGGTGGAACCCATGGAAGCAGATGGAGAGGCAGCGGAGAACTGAGAGTCAGATGGAGAAGGGTCAGCAGGACGATAGAGCAAGCTTTCCATCTTCCTCTATATATTCTGCAATCCGCCGCAGAAGAAGAAGTAAATTGTTCATTAGAAGAAAGGAAGCCGATTGAAGAAGAAGCAGGGAATCCAGAGAGTTGGAGGACAGGAAAGACGATGACGAGGGCCTTCGTCTGAATGACCTATGGGAAGTCGATCGTTAGAGCAAAGAGAGTTTCCATAGCCTCACTTCTGTTCTGCGCTTCTAGACTGTTGATCCCCCCCCTTCTCTCTCTCTCTCTCTCTCTCTCTCTCTCTCTCTCTCTCTCCCCGTGTCTCGGTAGGTCGGTAGTTCTTCTTCTCACTCTATATAAGCAGCAATCCGGGAAACGTGGGACCACTCTATTCTGCTGATGCTGGGAACCGTGGAGACGAGGTCCACCATTCTGAATGGGTCAGAGGTTCAGCCTTTTAACGGGTCAGTGGTTTTGGGCCTACAATACCTTTCAGGTGTGTGGTCACTGGTTTCGAATTATTTTAGATTTAATGAAATAATAATCATAGCCTAACTTGGGTCCCGCACATCTCCATCACCAAGAAAAGAAGCTTGAATGGGTCAACCACTCAATCTTTCCCCGTATAAGCAGGGTTTGTGTTGTCAAGTTGTACACAGAATTGACCTGGTGTCTGGTGACAAGGAGTTACAAGTCAAATAGTTGGAGAAAGATGAGGTGAACCAGGCCGAGTCCCAGGGAAACACTTAGTGAGTTTATTGTTCAAAGTCCCCATTATTAATCTAAAGAGGCACCCAGATAGATAGATGGAGAGAGACGGTGGAGGGGGACAGCTTAGGTTTGAATGGCGTGGAATTTTTAACTGGTCAAAAAAGCTCTTATTATAAAATTCTGTTGCCTTTATTATTATTTTATTTATTTTGAATAAGGTGAAATATTTATTTATATGTTTTGATGAGATAAGATGATAGCCGACAAAGAACAGAGGGTGAAATATCTCAATATCTCATCCATAGCAGATTAGTGTCATGTTATTCACTAAAGCCTATATAAATTCGTTATGTATATACAATTTGAGATAATTTGTGTCATCCGATGTAGAACAGTCTCACTCTATTCAAGAGCTACAACTCCCCAATTTATTAATACTAGCATAACTTCAATTATAGGTTTCCTATCAAGACATGGGTGTTGTTGCAACACTAACACACTAACATTGATTCACTGATGCTGTATGATGAGACTCAATCAACCACGACCGATCATCTTGGTTGACTTTGATTTTAAAATTCTAGCAACTTTTTTTTATTTTGATCTTTTATTTTTATTTTCTGATGATAGTGAGAATGTTATTTTCATTTATTCTTGTTTATCAAGGATTGCACAACATGTTCATGCATCGCAACTCATCTTGTGAACTATTTCATCAAACCAACCATCAACTGCCTTAATATTTTAAAGAAGTAAATATTGACACTAATAAATATTGCATCAAATTCAGCTTCTAATATTTGAATCTCCTAGTGTGGTAATTAATTGACTGATCATACATGCAAATGTATGATTTGGTGGTTGAACATCAAAAGTTTGGCATAAATATAAATTGGACGTCAACGCTCTAATCCTTGCATGCTTTAATCTTTCCTCGTCAAATCAATCATCATGGGATTTTAAGAGAAGATACATGCATTGTTCAAATAATATCAATCAATGATTCAAGGTGTTTTACCTTAAAAAGTAGTGAAATCTAAGGCTTATGAGGTGTAAATGTCAACATATGGAACTGAGTTGACACTTTGAACGAAAAAAAAGTTGAGGATGAACAAAAAAAATAATGATCTCAAGTATGAATACCTATCTGCAAAATAGAGAACCATTTATATGAGGGATGACAGCTCAAAAATATTGGTTAAAAATACATGTAATACTACAAGAGTTGTTACTTGGACATGAAGTCAGGCACAAGCAAAGAATCTTAGCTCGAGAAGCTCTAAGACCAACACCTATGAGCAAGGTTGACACCTAGTGAAGACACGTGGACAATAAATAGGAAAAGTAGATTCATGTGTTAACACTTGTGAACGTGAAGTGATCACATTTCAGTAAATACTAGATTGAAGTGTAGGTGCTTTGAAATGATAAATTGTTTTTTAATTAAAATGAAAGGAATTTTTTTTTTATAGAAAGAGCAGATGTTTTTGACCTGATAGAGCTAAGAACTTTTTGCAATGACTACTTGAGTTTCTCAAGCTCAAGAAAGATCCTTGATGAATGAGAATTGATAAGATTCCATGAGTTTAACATTTTCAGGTATTTAAAGCCTTGGTTTTGATCCTTCATGCAACACCGATTTGGATGTTTTTCATTTCATTTTACTTTGGTTGAGCAAGCTTGCAATTTAGCAAGGTGCAGAGTGTAAAGGTTTAGTTGTTGTTTCATGAAACCCGACTTAACGATAAAATAAGGAGATATTTAGTGGAACATACACTTGGAGAGTTGTGGTGTAGTAGGTTAAGATTGATCAAACCACTATACATTTAAGTGTCTTTGCATTTGTGCACTCTTGTCTTCCCTCCCAAGATTTGATTTGCCCACCTATAAGTCAAATAAATCCAACTCATCCCCATCCAGTCAAAGACTATTTTAAACCCTTTGTTATATCCCATTTTTGGATACTCAGATGATTTCTTAATAGTCTGCCAATAAGAAGAGTCAGCTGGTGTCCCTATTCAGACTAGTTTCAGACTTTGAGATGCATCGGCTGACAAGAACAAGCCCTCATCATTAGTCCTCCATTTTTACTAGAATTTAGTCATCCAATGTGCAAGCCTCTCTCTCTCTCTCTCTCTCTCTCTCTCTCTCTCTCTCTCTCTTTCTCTCTCAAAACAAAAGAAGAAAAAAACCAAAAACAAAAAGAAGCATCGTTCAACAATCACCCACAATTAACTCATACTCTTATCATTTTCAAGACAAATTTTTCTAGTTTTTACAATAAAATGATTTTCTTTTGAAGGTTCAATTTTAAATGAAAGCCCAAGGAACACACATCATATCCTTTCGTGTTAAATCCCTTGGCAGGTAGCCTACATAATAAATCGCTGGTGTTAGAGACGCCACTTGTGCCTCCAAAGGATTAAACTATGGCAATATTGATGCCACAAACCTTGAATCTAGGCAAATCAGGCGCTAGTCTCTCCTCATTTTTCGTGAATTTCCTTAAATCTGCGTACTATGACAGTTCGTATTCCACTTTCTTACCCTTAAAACTATATTATGGTTTACTCTTCATCAAGGAAAGTTTCACAAGTGCTACATCCAAATCAATATTTTCACCAATAATATTTATTACACATACAACTTATACACAAGTGGGTTTGTGATTTTGCACCATAATATTAGGGAAAAAAAGATAGAGAAAATAATCGGAATGGCTTGGTGGCAGAGAGCATCATCACAGAGGGTAGAAATGAATCAGAATGGCTTGGTGGCAGAGAGCATCACAAAGGGTCCGTTCCTCACACAGGTGAAATTGACCAGCCCGCATGTCCTGCAGAGATCCTTCAGTTCCCCCTCTGACAAGTATAGGTGTTGACTTGTGAGGCTCGTATAAGACTGTAGGAGGGAAAGAATGGTGAGTGAGTTGACCATCCCCAGATTAGCCTGAAGGAAATGACTTTTATCCGACTTGGGTCAACACGACAGCTTTCTTTTCTTTTATGCTCTTTACTTTTCTGGGAAATAGTTCTGTTTTATGCAATCGTGTTCAGAGCTCTGTGGCTACTTTTGCCAACTTGAAAGAAAGACAACTGGGGAATTATGAACTAGAGAAAGCTGAGAGAAGGCTGATGGGTTCCTTCGGCATTTAAAACCCCATCAATCTTATTAGAACACAGATTCTGCTGTCTGACAACTATCATCGGCGTAGGCTATCTTCGGCTATTTTCTTCTTTTATTGATCTGGACCCTACCCAGAGGGCTATTCACTCTGAATTCTAATAAGATTAGGGAACTTGATCCCCTTCCACCGACTTACAATCCTTTTGTCGTCATCTAGTCAGATAGCATAAACCTTAAAGTCCTCCGTAGCCAGATCTGTGGAGTAAATATCTACATTTTCGCTAGAGGAAAGAAACTAGCAGTTCTTCACCCACTGGGCTAAATGAGGAAATTTCTCCACTAAAAAACTGTATTGAAGCGTCTTTCTTAAGAATGGAAATAAACACCACCACCAATTTCCACGAGTATGGGTTCCATAGCAGAGGAAGACTCGTATAATAAACTATTAAATCCCATTTTTCTAATCTGGACGGCTTGAGTAAAGAAATAAATGGCCTGATCTAAGAATAGATGGATCAGTGCGGAACGCACCTCAAGTTCTTGAATATTCTATAATGAAACGAGGAAAATTCAATAAATAAAGCGCAAACATAAGACATATTACCAATACCAGAGTGTGGTTTCAGAGTCTACCTGGCGTATGACTGTACGCAATGGAACATAAGAGAAAATTCCATCAAGAATGAAGGTTGTTGCAACGAAGACACCTCCAGGGCGCAACACTCTACTTATCTCCGATACCTGCATTAAAGCCATAATAGTATTAATGTATCCCCGAACTTCATTATTTTATTTTTTTCACATGTTTTTTGGTCCAATCACGACTAGGACAAGGACGTTACAACGTTAATGCGCCAAAGGAAGATTTCCTTAACAACAATCTTCTGGGGAAACAGAAATGTTAATCAGGCAACTAATGACGTCGAGGTAGCTCTAATCATGTTAAACATTAGATGTTGAAGGAATCTTTATGCCGTCAAATGCGTTGCTCTCCAAGACTGGTAATACCACTAACAGAATGTCACCGATATAATGGTCAACTATAGATAAAAAATTAGGAATGAATATTATATCTCAATGGAAGTTAAATGACAATATAATGAGCAAACTTATGAGCCAGTTCATAACAAACATCACTGATATAACATGCGATTTTTTTCAAGAAGAAACTAAATGATACTATGGAGGTTTAGCAGAATATGATTCGCAACATATTCCTTAAAGAATCTTATTGTGGTTTTTGTCAACCAGAAAGGAAAGGATGAAATATAGTAAAGTTTCACTCCACAAACATGACTTGTAAACAACGAGCATTTTAAAAAAGGTAAACATGCCTGCAGATATGATCATCTAGGAGGAAGGGGTTCTGTTTGCCACTTAATCTGCATCAGGAGGATGGGGTTCTATCTTCATAGAGAGGGAAACCAAGGGGAAAGATAAAAGGAGTTTCCTCTCAAAGCAAACACTGCTTTGGCAGGTTACAGGTGCTGGTGAGCATGCTTATCAAAGATGAAATCGAAATACGAATTTTAAATAGAGAAAAAAATTATGACAGAAAACGGTCAATAAATAAAAAATCGTCATAAATAAACAGAAGAAACAAGTAAAATCTTTTCATAAATAAAATTGGATATCAAATTAAGACATCAACAATTTTTTCAAAGAACACACTATAACAAAAAAGAAAACTTGGCTCGTGAGTCACTGAAATACACGCCCCATTAAGTAAATTAGCTCCGGTTTATCAAAAAAAATCAGATCTTACAGCAGCAGATGGAGAAGGCCAGCAGTGTAGTGCAGCACCAGCGTGCACAGCATCAACTGAACTCGAAACAAAGGGGAGTCTGCCAATATCAGCCCTAACCAAGACCAGGCCCCTGCAAATCTCCAAACAAGCAGACACTTGAACTAAGAATAGCTATTTATGATTCATATAATCTTCAACTCATATATAACTATGCCATGCTCCACAATAAATTCAAGAGAGAATCGAAAATCAAAATTTCCAGCTGATAAAGATCATTTTTGAATCAGTAAAAGGAAAAAGAATACTCTCTAGGGAGGCCTTCTTGGTTAACAAAATCATTGCATTGCCGCAGCATATTTTCTGAGAAGTCCAAGGCCACGACAAGAGAATACAATCTACTTTTAGCAAACAGCCTTGAGAACAAGCCACTACCACAGCTTGCATCAATAATAGTTCCTCCAACAGTGGGCTTAAGATACTCTTTAGCCATTTCGAACTGCAAACATATTTTAAAAGGATAACTGATCAAATGCACAATATCAAATTAGAAAAAAATTATGTCAAACCAGTTGATGCGAATTGTTCCACTGATAACAAGGTTGCGGGAGGAAACACAACCCAACTCCATTAAATGTCCACATTTAGGAAATTATGGAATTTGATGAAGAAATTAAATTATAGAATGATGAATGATGAAAGTGAAAGCAAAAATTAAAAAGCGATATCTAGAAATTACTGCACCTCTTTTTCTGGACCTGGGAATCCACCGAGTACAAAATTTTGACGCCATCCTCTCTCATAAAGAAATGACACCAAAGGAGTCCTGCTCACCAAACCAACTGGGCATATGTTCAATAGGAATTTGTTGATTCGAATCATAGATTTAGAGGCACGCGTTTATCAATAATATAAGTCTCAATGTACACTAATCCATCGTAGATAAACTATATAGAAACTTAGTCATAGATACCAACACGCTTAGCTTCAGTTATGCTTTGAGCACTTATAAATATATGCTACATTATCATCGAACAGCAATCACTTATTCATACCAGTATGGCGTGTTTCCGTTTTCAAGCACTTTTCTGTTCTTAAATTTATTTAAAAACAAAGCTACGGAAAAAGGTGAAACAGCAAAACCACCTTGAGACAGTAAGTAGAAACATATGGTTTGAAAAAGTGTTTAGAAAAAATTATCCATGATCTGACCATAGGAAGCATCACCATACTTCTGTGTCAGTGGACTACATAAATGAAACAAAAGATAGTTGTTAGATACTTATGCTCATTCTACTTTAAAGAATGCAAACAATCGAATGGCTGCTGAGGAGAGATAAATTATGTTGCGATTCATCAAAGTTCTCTCATTATATAAAAATAATTGCCCGCAAAGAAGAATGCCACATATCTTAACATTTTAAGCAACCCGGTAATTCTGCTTCTCTTCTTTATATTTTCCATACCTGAAGAGCTCGGAAAATAGCGGCGGAACCTCAGCGTATGCCTTACAACCACTGGACACAGTCAGATCAAGGTAGGCCTCATTAGGGGGATAAGACTTCCGGCAGGTGCTGCAAGCAAAGCAGCTTCCCGGTACAACGGGTGCTCTAGAACAAGTTCTACACATAGTCAACACAAAATGGACAAGAGGATTCTAATTAGAACCGAAAAGCAAAAAATCAATCAGAGGACTCACCCTTTAGTCTCGTCGGGGCTTCCGGATACCAGAGGACTATAGCAGATCGGGCAGGCCAGGGAGTTCATTCCGGTGCGAGTCTTCCATCCAACACAGCCACAGAGCACATCAAAACAATAAGAAAGAGAAAAAAGTAACGGAGACGCACACTGTTTGTCTCTTCATAAATGTTACCGATTCTTCTCCGGGTGGGATGGCGGACGAAACAGACGCGTGGATCCTGCCAGAGGAGAGTGATCTCGCGGGGAGATTCCGGCGACGTAGCAGAAGGCAGCGGCGGCTATCGGCGCGGAGGAGGAGCGGGAAGCTGACGTCGGCTGTGAGCGCGGAAGCCATAACCTCGATATCCTCAGCGGGCTCGAGGAAGTGAGCAGATAGTGTATACTGTCGTTCAAAGATGCGCCGGCAAGAACGATTGGACGTTGGGCCTCCTCGTTTCGTGACCGGCATTGCCTGTGGGGCCCAGCTTCAGCACGTGAACTCGTCACGCAAGCCTGCCAGTGTGGCAACGGGCCGGGCCGGGTTTACCCTTCTGAGGCCCAAGCACCGTCCCTTTCTCTCTCTCCCTCTCTCTCTCTCTCTCTCTCTCTCTCATAGAGATCCAGCCCAAAGACCCTCCACCCCTCCCCCTTGGTTTAGGACGAAACCTGCACTTCCTTACGTTCACCTCGTTTCTCTCTCTCTCTCTCTCTCTCTCTCTCTCTCTCGTTTTATATCTCTATTGCTCACACACGCTTGTGGGCTTGGTAGGATGGGCACAAGTTTAGGCTCTACCCAAAAGTTTGTTATCTTCAGGGCGCGGACTGTGCTTCTCAGTTCTGCCCCTCCGCGCGAATGGTTTCTATCGCGTCCCTGAACGAGGAGAAGAGCCAAGTGCTTCCTCAGCGTCCGTCTCTGCTCCCGCAGTAACGCTTTCCACAGCCCAAGAGAGGATAATCTTCCTCTTCTTCTCCCTCTTCCTCCTCGACATGGGAAGCTAGGCGGCGGCGCCATTGAAGATGGCTGCCGGGGCGACCAACGGCTGCTCTCTCTTGCGCTCCTCCGCTGCTCTGTCCGCTCCGTTGTCCGCCTTCAGTCTGAAATGCTCCCTCCGCTTGCGGTCCTCCGTTCTATTTGCGAATATGGCCTGGTACTCTGAATTCCCGAGGTCCCGCCCTGGCTCTCTCTTCCCTTCTCTTGTCGGCGGCACTTTTGTTCGGACCGTCTCCGTTCCCCGGCTTGTTGATCTGGTTATGGAGGAACTAGCAGAGTTGAAATCCAAGAAGCAGCTGTGTGCGGCTGGGAAGTGAGTCTATCATCATCTCCTTTCTGGCTTCTTTTTTCTTTTTATTGTTTCCTCTGCTCTAATGTCTAGAAGTAGCAAAGAATCAATCGCCTTCATCCTCTTGTCGAATTCCCGGCGAATTTTCAGTTTGATTTATATTGATGGGATAAGGCCTGGCGAAGTGAAAGCTGTTACTACTGTCCTGTTTTTCTGAACGTATATGAATTTTGTGATGTTTGGGCTGGGTGGGTGCTCTTCTGGGTTTCGTCTTCCTTATGAGTACGGAAAACTTAGAAGTCGAAGGTGTGGGTAATCTGAGGTGCCCTCTCTGCTCTTTTTCATCGGTAAAATATGAGATCAATATATCTAAGATTTCCTTGCCACTTCATTTTCGCAATTTGGGTACCTCTTTCTATATAGCATCCTGAAAAATCTTGGTTTTATTTGCATGGGTTGTGAAATAAAATGGGCGTGCTAATACAGCCTGCAGTTTAGAACCGATATTTTTTCTCGTTGTCAGGAAGTCGGCAAATTGATATTTTTTTAATAGTCTGGGCGTGACATCACATGATATTTGACGCACCTTTTTCATTTGCAGAACAATATTACTCAATAATGAGTTAATGGAAGATAAACTTGATAAGCAGGTCCTTCAGAAAGGAATGCTTCTCGAGTTCCGAAAAGACTCTGAAAGAGTCTTGCTAGCAGTTGCCCAGAAACCTGACGGGAAGAAAAACTGGATGGTCTATGATCAGGTTGTTGTAGAGACTAGCTTTCTGCCTGCTGAATGCATTACTTCTGGTGCCGTCATCTTTTTGAGCTGTTATCTGTTTATTTATTTCATTTTTAGCATGGAGTAATCGGGTGCCTAATTTTCCTAAATGTTTTTTTCTCTTCTTATAATGTCTGAAAACAGAATGGAGTCATATCATCTATTAAGCCTCAGCAAATTACATATATTGTACCAGGTGTCAATAATTTCGATCACACTGAAGTTATGGGCTTCGTTGAGAGAGCACATAATCTCTTGGTAAGTTGTCTAATTTCAACTCAGATCCACATTTTTCCTCATCTTATTTGGCAATGATCTAGCGCAGGACATGTCCATACTGGAGTGCGCATGGGCTGAGCTTTTTGAACAGAACAAATTAATCACAACAGAAGAACTAGCTGAGGTACAGTAGGCTTAGCGTATTACTTCCTCATTTTGGTCTAATCTCCATCGTTTAAACTAGTTTGCATTTCTTTTTTTAGATTGTATATGGTTGCAGGGAGCCACTTGAAAGCTATTGTGCCCATCTCTTATTGTCAAAGGACGAATTTTATTTTAGTGTCAAGGAGAGTAAAGGTTTTTCTTCTGTTTATCAGCCTCGACCGTCCATTCAAGTAAGTTTTCTTATGTATCAATCCTTTCTGTGGTGATGGTTGAAGTTGTGCTGAACAATTATTTGTTCTTTGATGAAATATACTTTGACTTCCTGGACTGTCTTCTTCCTCAATCTAGGGTGACAGATGTAATCAACTTCCTTTCCCGGAGGGTGTATAATGATAAAAAAATTAAATTGCTTTGGCATTCATTCTCTACGACTGTTAAAGAAACCACAAGGTATCTTGAACATAAATCCAGCTGATCATAGAATATGCAGTGGAAACCATTCATACAATTTTAAAAATGGCTAGTTTTACCTAAAGGTAGACCAAATTCAGGTGCTTTGGGATACAATGTTATCAAGTACACTGGATGAAATAGTTACAACGGAATTTTTTATCTACGGTGGTATTTTTTTTGAGAAAAACACTGTGTTGGAAGGGTTTCTGCCTCCTTTGAAAGCCTTGTTCTGCTGCCCTGAATTGTTAAGTTTGCCCATAAAGGCATGAAAACGGTTATGATAGCAACACCGTTAGCATGCATTCAGTTAGAATAGTACAACTATTCTAGAAAATTTGAGCTAGAGTCTTTAATAAGAGGCTTCATTGGGGTGTTGTAAATATCTTGATGGGTGAACAGGGAGTAACATGTAACATGGAGGATGTGAGAAGAAGCTGAATGTCCAAATAAATGTTACTATGGTTCGTGGACATAGTAACATTTGTAAACATGGCAGTGGTGGCCAATGCTTTGCTATGATGGCTTTGCCTTTTTGTTGAATAATTTGGCGTCCTTTTCTGCCACTCATTGCTGGCTGGAAAATATTTATTTATCTGCCAATATGATTCCTAACAGTGTTTTATTTCTTCAGGTTGAGGAACTTATGCAGCGGAAGCAAGCCAAGTTGGCTTCTGAGAAGGAGCATGAGGACTTTATCCAGCTACTGATGTCAGCTATGGCGTCAGCTGTTACTGATAAGCCTCCTAAATACTCATGGAAAATGGATGAGAAGATATGGTCCAAAATTGAATCCCTTGAGGCTTATGCAATAGATGCATGCAAATCTGATGAAGAGAAGAAGACTGCTGGAAAGGTAATGCCCACTCCGTAAAAGATGATTTATAATCTAAGAATCGATCATGCTGTTAATCCTTTTTCTAGCTTGAAATCCTGGACTTGATATTTTATCAGTTCGTATGCTGATGAAAAAAAAAATCTATTTTCCAAGGAAATGCTCATAAGATCTTCCAATAAACATTTCGTTGTGGGACTCAAAAAATACATCCCCTTGCACAATTTGTTTGGTTATTAATTTCGTGAAGCATGAAATGTTGATGTGCAGTACATTGTGAAGTAATTCAAGGCACAGTTTTCTTTGTTCATAGACATTACATGTTACTCCGAAAATATGATGAAGACAAGGTAATGATGCACTTCTCATAAGTAAACCTTTCAAATTTGAAGCTTTGGCTTTGTTGGGAAAACTGCTATTACCTTATTCAAATACTGTGATATGTTTTTTCCCAAAATTTTCACAATACTTTGTCAAAAACCGTGACACTTTATTTTAATCCTTTGAAAAACAAAATGTTTAGGTCCCTGCTTAATTATGTTTAGAAAGTTAATCTATTAAAGTATGTTACGCCGTAATCTATTAAAGTACGTTTAGATACTTTTTTTTGGGTTTGGATACTTGCTAACTAAGAGTTAGTCTCTTCAACATGCCTTCTCAAATTCAGCATAGATGTTTTTTATGTTCAGTTTGCACTGTAGGAAGCTAATTGATATCCAGTCAGCCGACTAAAATTGACATCTGCTGCCTAACTTTTGTTATGAAAGCGTGGCAGACAGTGTTTTCCTACTACAAGTTTCTCTCTGATAATCTATCAATGAATCTAACTATCTTTTCTTTGATCATGTTTGATAATTTAATAGCTAAGTTGTAGTCATAACCTCAATAGATTCTTAACTGTCATGTCCTCTGTTTAAAGATAATCATTGTGGCTTATTCAGAGAATCATTGTATTCTATGTTTTATCACTGGAACTTGCATACGTTCTTTGCATTTTCAGATCATTGGATTGCCTCCTAAATAAGTGCATAGCCATTTGTTGGTCTCCTACTGTTATTAGAGCTTTTCGCGTAAATATCACCCTGTCATTCAAGCTGGGGACTTTCATTCTTCATGTGGACGTTTGGAGTAGCATATGTCAAGTTAAGGTGACGAGTCGACATTGGTAATATCTTTTGTACTGAGACTTAAAAATACTATAACTTATGCAGTAGAAAATTGGTCTTCCTCCTCTCTCTCTCTCTCTCTCTCTCTCTCTCTCTCTCTCTCGCTCAAAATTTATATCTGAACCTCACATAAGAGCTCCCCTTGTTGTTCCTCCAGGGGGTGGTTAAACTCATTAGGGACTTAGAGTAGGTTGGACGCTAATATTATGCATCTGCTTCAATGAATAAAGAGCCCAGTTTCTTCTAGCGATCTGTATACCCAGAAGGTACATGAAACAGCCCATCTTGATAGCATGGACCATGCTCACAGTGGAACTAATTTGACCAGAATTTCATCTAAAAAGGTATATTTGAACCGGAAATTTTATCAAAAAGCTATGTTTATTGGCATGTGTTACGAAACTACTTTCTCCAAATGTTCTGCTCTTTTTTCCTGGTGGCAGCTTGATCATGATAAGTGTTAACAACTCATGAATTAGTTAACTCAACTCTTGTGCTCTGCTAATCAACGTGTAGCGGATTCATTTCTTATTCTCTGATTCTCAGATTCTTCGGGCAATGGGATTGCCAAAAATGTCGTCTTCTGCAATGCAGCTTCTCATCGATATTGGATATTTTCCTGTGCATATCAATCTAGATTTATTGAAGTACAACGTCTGTACTGAATTTTCTGACGAAGCTCTTGTGGAAGCTGAGGATGTTCTGTTAGCTTCCTCAGATCCAGATGAGGTAACTATCTGCTTTCTTCTTTGAGTGTGTGCTTCTCTTCTGATCAAGGAGCAAGTCTCCCTCGATCATTCTCTAATTTTCTTTTTTTCCTTTAGTTGAATCGAAAGGATCTTACATTCTTAAAGGTCTATGCTATTGATGTGGATGAAGCAGATGAGGTGAATTAGAATACATATCATTTTTTTTGTGTAGATACCATTCAAATTCCTTGATAATCTTACGCCCTCTCTTCCATTCCATGAACATTATTTTTATTCTCAATCTTATTGTGAACAACAGCTTGACGATGCACTTAGTGCAATGAGGCTGCCGGATGGAAGGATTAGAATATGGATACACGTTGCAGATCCTACTTGTTTTGTCCAACCACAGAGCGTCATTGACAGGTTTCCTGATCAACAGAGAAACAAAAATCCTTGGTTACCGCTAAGTAAAATTGCTAATGAAAAATGACTGTATGATAATTTATTTATTTACATTTTAAGTACAGGGAAGCAAGGCGAAGAGGAACATCTGTTTTCTTGCCCACTGCCACTTTCCCTATGTTTCCTCTAAAACTCGCTATGGAGGGAATGAGTTTGCAGCAAGGAAAAACTTGTCGGGCTGTCAGTGTATCTGTTGTTCTTCACCCAGATGGCAGGTAACTGCAAGTGGCTATGCACATGTTTGTCTTATGAACAGTTACTTTTCCGTCTAGAACGAGTGTTACAAACTTATGAATTTGTAAGACTACTTCACTTTCCATGGCTTTTAGCATTGCAGAATACTCCATCGACAACTCAATCATTAGACCCACCTATATGCTGACGTATGAAAGTGCAACGGAATTGCTTCATTTGAACCTTGAAGAGGAGGCTGATTTAAAACTTCTTTCTGAGGCTGCTTCTCTCCGGTTACAATGGCGCTGTCAACAGGTTGAGATTCTGTGATATTAGACAAATTATATGTATACGTTGCTGGTTTTTACATTTCCTACTTCGATTTCTTGAAAATTTCAGCATCATTATCCTACTGTGGACAATATTGGGTTGCTCACTTGTACGGAAAAAAAACGGCTCGTCTTCCATCTGGAGATCAGAAAACTGGGTCCTATAACAGAAACTAGAAGTAGTGGTAACAAAAACTAGAAGCCTTTTGTAGTTATATGTACCCATGTTCTGAGCATTGACTTATGCTGCTTCATCTGTTCTTTGGTTGATTGGAATTATGCTGCTCTTCTATCCGACTAAACTTTAAAACTGGAATCCCCTGAATGCTAGTTAGTAAATTTCTAGCTCATTGGCACTAGGATTGGTCAGGTGATATATTTTTTTATAAGAATTAATCCAATGAACTTATATTGCCTTCTATAGTTATACATACGATGTATGGGAGAAAAAATTGCCATAATAGATTCCCAAAACCTTGGACCAGGGATGATACTACCAAATGCGAGCAACTACTGAGGCTTTGAGAGCTTGTCTCGATCACTAAAAATATTTGTTAAGGTATTAAAAATAACGAAGCTCTGAGCCAAGCATGTATAATGATTTATTTTAAGGCTATTTTTCTCCCTGGGTTTTTCCTATTCATAGAAAATACTCTTCTCAACAGTATCTGGAAGGTAGATAAGGAAGATGCGGGTGAATATCTGGCCGCCGTGGACTGTTTTCTCCAATTATTTTGAGCTTTCTTTGTCAGTTCGCATTCCGTGTCCTCATTTAGGGGTAAATAACCTGAAACTGATCTTCAGGAACATCTTACAAAGGCATCCACTACGTGCATACCAATCCCAGCAAATCCTTATTTCATCTAAAATGGCATATCACACACTCAGATCCCAGTCCATTCAAGTAAACCTGAAGTTTCCAATTAGTGTGCCAAACAATAGATGGGTATCAACTACTATTAGATGTCAAATCAAGCACTGACAGATGTGATTATTGGACGCTCTGCGGGGCTCATCTGTTCTCTACCCACATGAAATGGGGGGGGAGATAGAGAGAGAGAGAGAGAGAGAGAGAGAGAGAGAGAGAGATGGGTACATGGGCTTTGACCAGCTCATACTATTTGGGCTTCAATTCTGCGGGGAATCTCTTGTCATACCAGATGATTCCTTCCATTCAAGGGACAGCCGTTCCGCTCTGTCTCTGTATCACTCTTTCATGGGCCTGCAATGAATTTATTTATTTATTTATTTTCAAGCTTATATGATCCATGTTCCAGCCTATGAAGAGAAAATAAGGAAATATTCATCATGTTTTCGTCTCAATGTATAAACTGCAGAACTTGGGAACAGCTACTTTTGTATATTATCTTGAAGAGATAATAAAATCAAGAGTATATAGCTCCCCATCTTCACCCACATTCCGCTGTATAATATATATTCTTTTTCAGGGTGCGATTGATACTGCAACGATAGAAGCACGGGTGAAGGTGTCCAATCCAGATGATCCAGAGCCGCCCATCAATCTATACATTGAGGATCAGGCCGGGCCGGCCATGAGGCTCGTCTCCGAGATGATGGTTCTCTGCGGGGAGGTCGTCGCCACCTTCGGCTCCTCCAACAATATCCCCCTCCCCTATAGGGGCCAGCCCCAGACGAATATCCCGGCCTCCACTTTCTCTCACCTCCCAGAGGGGCCCGTCAGGAGCGCCGCCTTCGTCAAGATCATGAGGGCCGCAGAGATGGACTTCCGCAAGCCCATTCGCCATGGAATCCTTGGGATCCCAGGATATGTGCAGTTCTCCTCTCCCATTCGTAGATATGTGGACCTTCTTGCCCACTATCAGGTTCTCCCTCTCTAGATCTTCGTATGTTCTCGTGAATTCTCCAGCAGAGTAGGTGAATTGATGGGCATCTGTGTTATTTTCTTTTTTTCAGGTGAAGGCTTTCCTCAGAGGGGATTCCTTGCCATTTTCAGCTACTCAAATGGAGGGCCTCGTGGCGGCAGTGAACACTCAGGGTAAGATAGCTAGAAAGCTGAGCAACATCAGCCTGCGGTATTGGCTTCTGGAGTTCCTTAGAAGGCAACCTAGAGAGAGAAAGTTCCGGGCCGTCGTCCTCAGGTTCATTAAGGACCGAGCCGCCACCGTGCTGCTTCTAGAGGTAGATAGATACTGCTTATGATACTCTCCACTTCCCTGATTCTTTCTCACTTATGATACTGCTGGAGGATTTGTTCAGGTGGGAATTCAAGCCTCCGCCTTGCTATCTCTCGGAATTCAGGTCGGCGACGAAATTTATGTCCTGGTGATGGAAGCCCACCCAAGGGATGATATTCTCCTGCTCCGGGAGGTGGGAGTGGCTCACTGAGGCTCTCTGGGTCATCCAAAAGGCTAGTAAATCTCTCTCTCTCTCTCTCGCTCTCTCTCTCTCTCTCTCTCTCTCTCTCTCTCTCTCTCTCTCTCTCTCTCTCTCTCCCTCTCCCTCTCCCTCTCCCTCTCCCTCTCCCTCTCTCTCTCTAGGGTCTTCCCCAATTGGTTTATCTCAGTGAAGCCAAGCACACCGAGCATCCAGGGATTCCATAAGACTTTCCCCTCCCTCTGAGAAGGCCTGTCCTCTGGTTTTGTTAGTGTTCTTGAGAGGAGGCGGGCGATTGAGGGTTCTCGTAGATGCAGATTGTGTAGGTGGGTCGATCTGTAAATACATTCTTTTCCGCACACATTCCCGGAGATCGTGGCTGTTCGGCCATTCTCCAGCTGATTCCCATTTTTCGGGGCAAAAAAGAAAAACAGCTGCCGGAGCTGTCTGCAACTGAAGCGGATCGTGCTGTTTTTGGAAATATTCCTTTGTGGGATCTTTTGAGATCCTGAGAAAATCGATGTGAAGGGTCTTCTTCCTGTGGGAATTTCTATAAAAAGAAAATGGCGGGGATAAATATGACTTTTAAGGGTGCATTTTTATAGTTTTTTTTACCAAAATTAATTCGTAAAAATATTCTTGTGGAGCTTAAGGAAGCCCACTAGAAGAGAGAGAGAGAGAGAGAGAGAGAGAGAGAGAGTAAATGGGTCAGGCCCAAAATAAGGATTGGACCGAGTGGAGCCTTTGTTGAGCTATAATGTAAAGCTTCAAATAAATGAGCAACTTTTTAACAGAATATCATCGAATGTTTTTCGGCCCTAAAAGGCCCAATGGGCTTTTGGGCTAAGCGGGCTTTTCTTGGATCCAACTCCGAGGCCCAAAGATAATAGATATTTAAAAAATTATGCGTGAAATCAATTACTTTAATCATTCTTATAAGGAAAAGAATGACACAAATGGGATGAAATTTGCTTCCTAATGGAAGTACAGAGGAGGATCCACGATTCTCACGGAATAAGAAGGGAAAAATAAGTAAGAGAGGGGATACACAAAATTATAGAAAGTTTACTGGGTTTTTATTTAAAATGAGAAGTTTAAAAGTTATTATTTTTTTTAAAATACTGCACTTCCTCAGGTAGGGTGCGTCAGGGGCACGTTCCTCTGGCACGAGTAGACCTCTTTGTACATATATCGCTACACGAATAGCTCCGGTTCATCGATCCTCACTTGAATGAACGGTTCAGATTTTCTGGTTTTAGCCACATGATGCACTCCGGTGGATCTGCCGGTGCGATCCAGTGTACATTACGGCGAGGCGTGGCGGCCAATAGTTCTGCACAGAAGCTCCAAGCTGTCATTCGTGAAACACGTGTCTATGACGTCATCCTCGGCTGTGTTTTTTATGTTTTAAATTAGCCCCTATTATTTTCAATTTTGTGAAGAGAAGAATGATGGTCCTTGGATTATGATTTCCGCTATCGTTACGGTGTCTCATGACCGGGTATAAGAGCATATAAATATAATTTTGGGTTTTGAACGGTAGTGTAGAATATTATATGAGGTTATGACTAAAGATCCCATTCGAAATCGTAGGCAACTGGGGCTACGACTTGAGGTGGCATCCACTACCTACCGGCCATCGGGGAGCAACACCCGCTGTCCTCATTACAGTCACCTCTTGGTGACAAATGGCGGCTGTGGGCAAGCTCACCGGAAGCCGCAACGCACAGGAATCAGCGCCCTGAAGGAGGGAAACTTGTTAGAAGGTAACCTTACCGCCACACCATCCTCACTTGGAGGATGCTTAAAGGGGAGGAAATAAACGGCACTCCAGAGAGAGAGAGAAGTCTGCTGCCTCCATTTCTTCAGAGTCGTCTCAGAGCAGAGCTTTTAGAGAGAGAAATAAGAGTGTGAGAGAGAGAGAGAGAAGAAAGAGGAGAGAGACAGAGAGGGATGGAGAAGAGCAAGCCTGTGAGGAAGTCGTACACTTCGACGGCGGATCTTCTCACCTGGACGGAGAATGCACCGATGGAGTCTCCTGCAGCGGAAGTCGCCTCTCGCCCCGGGATCCTCTCTCACCAGGTGAGGTGCTCCTTTTCTTGTTGCTCCGCGGCGAGAATGGCCGCTGGGACCGTGATTTCGGGAAATGAGTATGTGTGTCGATTTTTAACGAGGGAATGCTGCAGCCTTCGGCAGGTATAAGCGCGGTGCTCTTCGGTGGGCAGATGACGGAAGAGGAGGCAGAGTCCCTGATGAAAACGTGAGATCTGGAGTCCTCGTCCTCTGTTTTGCCGTGATCCTTGTTGTCCATGTGGTCGACAACTAGTTACTCTTGTTGTGCGGATTCACTGTGGCTTTGATATTTCGATTTTGAATTTTTTGTTTTCTCTCGTTGTTCTTCAACTCCGTGGACGTCGGTATTCCGTGATCTTCATGTGTCATCATTTGATCTGTCGGATTGTCGATCACGAGGCGTTCTGATTCTTCTGATGCGTCCGTCAACTTGTCAACTTCTTCACTGTAGGAGTTTCTCCAGTTTTCTTTTGCGCGTGTGCCCAGCTGGGGAATATGACAACACTAGGACAAAACTGGACGGTTCCTGCATGAGCGGCGTTTGGTTGTTAAAATTTGTCTCATAATGCTGTGCAGTTTGTCGTTTTGTCTAGAGTGTCTTTTCTCCATTCTCTACAGTAAAACTGTAGATCTGGTTGCGATACGTTTCTTCTAGTCCCTCCTCCCCCCCCTCATTGATTGATTTCTACCTTATTTCTCTAGATGGGTCTATTTATGTCTCCGAGATTAGCCACTGTCTTTCTTGGGTACTGGCGTGTGACCGATCGTTCTTCTAGGCGGGACTCTGCATATCTGATCTCCATGATTCTTCAATCCACAACAATTATCACCTCCTTTGAACTAGATGATTTTGTTTTATTATATTGTTTATGATTCTTCCGAAGACATTTTTCCTTTCTCTAGGATTTTACTTTATCCATCAACTCATGATATGTTTGGCGTTATTCCAGTATTCTTTATATGACAAGGGTTCTGCTCTTTTGATGTTTTGGGGGCTAACAAGTTTTGGATATTTAATTCATCTTCATGGTCAATCGATATATGATATCGACGACTGATCCAGAAACTGATCTGACTCTCTCAGGATACATTCAGTATCTGAATTTATTTGTCACTTTGATTTGAGCTGATACCAACTCAGATCATTTATACTAGGACATCTATGGATTTAAGAGGAGACTGACCCAGGAAAGACAGATTGACTATATTTTCTCTCCGAAATAGAACATACAGTATGATGTTTGGATCATCTTTTAAGCATTCTGTCTTTCCTCAACTGTCCTTTATTTCTCATACTCCATGTAGCCGTGGGTAGAAGAAACAACTGCTATTTTTACTAGTTAATCTTTCTGCCGTTCTTAATGCTGACGGAGAGCATAGATCTAAAAAAGCTTCCGAGATTTTAGTGAGGGGCTGCAATAATTAAATAGGTCACATTAGATTATTATCGCCTGATAAAGTGGTAAAATGGGTAGACACCTCTCTGTGTGATTCTAAATGCCACCCCATTTGTTTTTTTTAAGGAAATGGTGGGTCTGGCCATCCACTCAAACATCACATTGGCAGAGATTCTGAAATGCTTAGACGAAATCTGAAGGATTTAGATGCCGTTTGTGGAAATTGATTAGTGAGAAGCTTTTGTGGTAAAAAAATAAATGTTTTTACTTGATTCTTTTCTCTCTTCACGTAGATTTCCCTAATGTCATCCCCCCCCTTAACCAGACCCATCTGGTTTCATCTTTGCTCTCATTAACTCCCTCCATGGACTGTACTATTATTTCTGATCATCAGGCGATCTGACAGTAAGAGGTTTGCCTTAAAGAATTGTGTTATAAATTACATGCTTTTAATCATCACTTGGATTATACCGCCCGCCGAAGCATAAAGCGTTACTTCTTAACGGAAGGAATCATCAGCCTCCCCTTGCTTTTCACCTTGCTCTCAATCCTCCGCACCTCTCTTAATTCTTCACTTTTTTCTGTACTCGCAGGAAACCATGTTCAAGCTCGAAACTGAAAGAGATGACAGGCAGCGGTATATTCGCAGGAGATCAAGACAATGGTGCATCAGAGGCCGATGCCACCTTCTCGACTCCCAACAATCGAACAGGCTTGCGTCTTTATCAGGTATAATACTAATAATAACGATAATAAATCATGAATGGATCAATCAACCAATCTGTGTTTTAAATGTATACTGGACCTGTGAACCGTTTCTGTTATTGGGTCATGCTGTGTTTTTGGAAAGAAACTGAATCAGGTTGGGCTGTGTTAAAAACAGAAAGTCAGCCATGCCGTTTCAAATGTATGCTGTCTTCGAGTTGACTTCCTTGTGATGCTTTCAGAATCGTACGAGATAGATGATTTCTTATGCCTTTCTTTTCACAGTAGCAGGCTATATAATACTCAATAATAACAATAATAAATCAATCAATTAGCCATCTGTGTTTTGAAACGTAGACTGCAGCTGCGAGCCGTTTCTTTTATTGGGTCATGATGTGTTCTTGGAGGAAGTTGATTCAGTTTTAAATAAGTCAACCAGCCCTCGATTGTCTCTTCAAGTCAACAGCCTTGCCACGATTCCAAAGTCCTACAAGATCTATAATTTCTTCTGCCTTTTTCATGTTTTTTTTTTTTTTTTTGTTTACAGCAAGCGGCTTGTGTGGTCAGCCAGATCTCATTCAGCGCCGAGGAGAGCGTTTCTCCGAAGAAGCCGACCACCCTGCCGGAGATGGCGAAGCAGCGAGAGCTGAGTGGCACTCTGGAGACCGAGAGTGAGCGCGACGCCAGGATGAAGAAACAGCTATCCGAGGCCAAGAACAGGGAGCTCAGCGGGCACGGGATCTTCACCCCCCCGCCGGAGATTGTGCCCCGGCCGCCACCGCTGTCTGCATCACACGCCGCCAACGTATCCGCTGTGAGTGTGACCGCTTCCACTTCCGACTTATCGTAACATAATTCGAGCTCCCTCCTCTGAAAATTTTGACAAAGAATCCTGAAATTTTGATAGTTTTATGGGCTTTAGAGTGTACCATTACAGAGAGAGAGAGAGAGAGAGAGAGAGAGTAGGTTTGATAGGTTCAGCTCTACTTGTGAACTGGTGGGATGGAATCATTAATTTTGGTGTTTGTGGTAGCAGCTGAGCGGAGGGCTGAGCAGCATCATACTGGGGGAGGAGCCGGTGCTGAAGACGGCGAAGAAGATCTACGACCAGAAGTTCGCCGAGCTCAGCGGCAACAACGTCTTCGGCGGCAGCAATGGCGGAGGCGGCGGCGGCGGCACCTCGCCCCCCTCTGCCGATAAGCCGCTAAGCGTGGCCAAGCTGCGGGAGATGACCGGCAGCGACATCTTCGCCGACGACAAAGTCTCCTCCCGCGAGTACTACGGCGGCGTCCGCAAACCCCCTGGCGGCGAGAGCACCATCGCCCTCGTCTAACCCCCTCTCTCTCTTCTCTCTCTCTTTCTGACTCGTCGAGTGACTGCGCTGCGGCGCTCTAATTTACTGCTTGGTGTGTCGAGGCTGGGAGGGGATTCTTCTTGTGTGGGCTCGAAGACGACGGAAGTGATGGGTTTTGAATGCGTGTGGGGCCCGCGGGCTCATGAGTGAGTGTGCGCCGGTGGCTTCTTTAACCACGAACTGGTTTGATTCCTCGTTCTTCTCTCTCCCCTGCTTCTAATCATTGATTTGTCCTCCGTTTGTTTCAACCAACTCTCTCTCTCTCTCTCTCTCCCCTTGGCTGGACTCCTGGTTCTTCTCTTTCCTACGTTGCCGACCATTGATTGTCTTCGGTTTGTATCCGTCAATGCTCCCTCACTCTCTCTCTCTCTAGCGGAAACAATGTCCGTTTCACAGTGAGTAAGAGAGAGAGAGAGAGAGAGAGAGAGAGAGAGAGAGAGAGATTATTCATCCACAATCAGTCAAAATTATTCCAATTTCCGCTTATTTATTTGATGAACCGAGGAGGCATATGGATAGAGGAGGTGATGTACGGTGCGGAAGGTTTTATTCAGAGGGTGCGTACCGTGGCGGTGGAGAGCGCTTAGAAGGACGGGTCGTGGCCGATCAGGGCGAGTAGCATAGCCTGGTAGTCCCCGGAGGTGTCGTCGGCGACTGCATGGGCGAGGCTCACGCTGTTCCGCCTGTCATAGGCCTCTCTGAACTTCCCCAGGTCAACCTCCGCGCGGGTCGCTACCACCCGGGTCAGCGCCTCCTCGTCCGTGCCCAGCTTGTTGACCGCCAGCCGGAGCACCTTCTCGAAGTACTCCGGCCAGATCAGGCACTCCACCGCCGCCGCCAGCGCCGCCACATACTCGTCCTCCGCATCCGCCTCCAAATCCTGAGAGCAGACACGTCAAATTAATGGTAGACGCAAGTTATCCGTGTTAATCATTCTATAAGCTTGTCATATCTTCCCTGGGTTTTCTATATTCTGAGTGATTACTATGTTTAAGGGATTTCCAGCTTTTGGTATTCTCTCATTCTTCTCCCTTATTCTCTCTCTCTCACTAGATAAATCTCTCTCTCTCTCTCTCTCTCTCTCTCTCGCTCGCAATATATATATATCTTTGCTAGCAATTAAAAGGCTGATAAGGCTCGGGGGAAGATTGGGCGAGGGCAAATCTTGAGGATGGGGTTCCCAGAAAGCTGGAGGTAGAGGTCGAACGTTGGGGCGAGCTCGGCCCTGCTGCGGGTGCATATGACGCTGATGAGGTCCTCGTGGGTGTAGGCCCTGTTGCTGATATGCTCGTGGAGTGTCTTGGCATCAATTTCCGCCAGATCCGTGTACACGGCCTGCCCCTCGTAACGGTACGCAACCAGCTGGGGTGTGAGCAGGGGTGGCAGCAGCTGAAGGCGCGCATAGCATCGGATTATGATCCCAAGAGGTGATGATGAGAAGAGCCCCAAGAGTACGGGAGATTGCTCTGGTCTAATGTCCCCGTCGCACCTTACGGAGGTCTCCGGTGATGTGGCGTTCGACGTCCTCTTCGAGGGATATGTCGTAGCGTTCGCGGTATTCTTGCCTCAAGTCCAAGAGGTCGTAGGGAGTTCTCGTACAGGCTATTTCTATGAGAACACGGTCGCTGGGGTTCCACTTTCTCAAAGCTTCATAGGCCAGGACAGCGTCACGCTCAGCAGGATCTAATGTCCATAGCAGCACCAGTTTCTGATCAAGAAGGATAAACCCAAGGATTAATGAACCTTTCGGAAGATAATCGAATTGTATAAGCAGTCATCTTGATTTCATTGTATCTATGAATGAAGATGAAGGAATGATAAGAAATACGAAGTGGCGTTTATTACTACCGAGATGGTAATAGATTGATGGCTGCAATCAGAATGGAAAATTTTGATTAATGATCAACGCAGTCATGGAAACTATGATTTACATTCATGGCCGTCATTGAATGAAATCTGAACCCGGCGTACAGAAAGGAAAAAGGAGACGTAGAATTGAAAGGCTTCGACCTCAAACTCGGGGCTCAGCTCCTTGTCGAGCGGTTTGAGGAGATCCTCCCCGTAAGTCTCAGCGTGCACCTGCCGGATCAGCTTCCGCTGGTTCTGATTCTGTGCGCCAGTATCGATATGATCTGACCCTCCTTCGTTCCCCGTCCTGCAAACGGCACATCAGCGACCCCTGTTTCAAACCTTACTAAGAAATCTGCATAAACTGCCGCTGCCTCGTGGATATGGACAGTATGCTTTCCGGAAATCAGTATGCTTTATTGTCGACATTCCCGCAAAGATGAGAGCAGAGGTAGAGGGGCGGAGTAGAGCAGGTGAAGAGCCTGCAGAGCTGTGTTGATCGCCTCGGCTTCCCTTCTCCTGGTCAGGGCTAGCGATTGAGTGACCAGTGTTGATCGTCGTTCTCGATTCCCAACCAGGTAACCCAAATAAGGAAGGTCCACTCTTTTTATATGGGGAACACGAGCACCCAAGGCGTCAACATTTGACGCTCTCATCCTCCTCGATCACCATCCAGGTTGGCAATAAAGTATTTATTTTATCATCATTCTTATCTTCAAAAGTCAATTGTGCATGAAACATAATTGACGAGCAGTATGATATAAGTTTGGATTTGAAAATAAGGATGCGACAAGGGAAAAGGAGAGGACAATAATACCCTTAAGAGATAGAGAGAAGAAGGAGCCGTTGTAATAGATGAACACAAATCGTCGACAATAAATGAGTCTTAGAATTAAGTTGAATAATAGGTTAACATAACAGTCCGTAATAGACCTATCACATTAATAGTCTGTAATAAGTTTATTATACTTAGTCGTTGTATATCAAATCAAGTAAATTTAAAATTTATAAAACTAAAAAAATAGTAATTTTAAGATTTTTAGAATTAGTATATATAAATATATCACTTTAAAATTGATAAAGAGCTTCAAAAATAATGAGAATTTTTAAGTCAATAATAGGGATGTATAATAATATTAGGTAAAATTTTAGATTTTTTCTCAAAGAATACAATTTTATATGATTTTTGGACTAAAAGATCATAATAAAAAAAAGTTAAAAATTTTCAAAGGAAAATTTGAGCGCTAACATCAGGCAAACATCAATATTGCTCAAATAGAGACTTGAGTAACAATAGAGTTTCACCAAACAACTATTACATAAACAATTATGATAATTTAATTGATAAATGCAAGATCTATAAATATTGAATGAATCATAATAGACTAAATAATAGTTTTGAAACTTAAATTAAGTAAATTATCATTAATCTAAAGATTAAATGAATTTAAAGAAAAATAAGTGTTGGTGTCACAATGACTATCATTGAAATTCTATAAGTTTAGAAATTTTTTAAAGGGTGTCCACAACCTTAAAACCTCCCTTTAGACATGCACAATTGTGGTCATTCTTTAGATTCTCATACAAAGTTCATAAGGTAAAGAATGACATCAATGAAGTATCTTTGGCATCTATCACTTGGTGAAATAGAGGTTTGACGGAAATAATGTTTTGATGATTGTCTCTTAGTAGAGTTGAGCTTGATGGAGGTGGAGCATATCATAGGGAGCTTCATCCTTTAGTCTACACACTAAAAGGATGCTATTTATCACATTCAAAACACTTTGAAGAGATCACAATTTCTTTAGGATTCCTTTGCTCATGATGATGGTTTGTTCGTCGACCAATAAGAAATAATTTTCTTTAGGAATTTCTGATTTTTTTTATCTAAGATCCATGGTCAGTTGTTAGTGATGATCCTAGATTATCATTGATGAAAATTTCATCAATGATTGATCATCTCCACCTGCTATTTCATTGATCAGCTCTTTACAAGAAAATCATAGAGTTAAAAGACACTAAAGTTGTAAGTTATGGTGTTGGTGAGATTTAAACCTTTGCTAATTACCTAGCTATGAAAGTGAGGCTAAAATGATTTACTAATATACCTTTGAAATAGTAAACAAATAAATATATTACCCTCTCTTAACATAGGGGATTTTTTAATATTATTTTTACTAATATGTGCTACTAGGGTTTAGTCTCACATTGATTATTTTAGAGAGTTTGAGATCAATATAAGTATAGGGTTCCATGTGTAATTGATACCTTCTCTCATAAATAAAATGGTTAGGACCATTTGAGGGGAAGAGGAACCAAGTGGTCCACCCTCACACACACGTGTGAGAAAGATCAGACCTTGTCCCATACATTAATTTGGCTTGGGTGACATTGAAGAGGAGTGACACACGTGTTCTATGTGGGTTTCTTGAACCACTTGAGCCCAGGTTATGGTTCCCCTCAATTTGAGCCCACGGGAAGAGGAGTGGACCTCTAGGTAGACTATTGAGTATTGATTGGTCAGCAAGTCTCTCCTTTATATATATATATATATATATATATATATATTATTTTTCTTTATTTTAAATTAATATTAAAATATAATATATAATATCATAATTAACTATAAATTCAAATTAGTCAAGTAAAAAAAATCATCTCAATTTAAGATAAATATAAAGATATTTATCATGAATTAATACACAAAATATATTATTAATTAATTATTAACTCTAGAGATTTATTATATACTAACATACCTCCCCTCAAACTAAATATAAAACAAAAAATGAGATATAGTATGAGACTTTGGTAAAGAAATCAACCAGTTGTTGAGATGATGAAACATAATTGAAAATAATGGCACATAAAGTAATACTTAATCTCAATGTGCTTCATGTGTTCATGAAAAATAGAATTACGAGCAATTTGAATTGTACTCTTGTAATCATAATAGAGAGGAGTTGGTCAAATAAATTAACATGATATGCCCATATTTCTAAGAACCAATGAAGCCAAATAACTTTGACTGATATCATAGTTTGATATGTAACTTTAGTAATAGAACAAGTAATGACATCTTCTTTCTTACTTTTCTAAGGAGTAAAAAAATCACTAAAAAAATATTCATT